CTGACTCTGTAAACCGCTTAGAGAGGGCTGAAAGCCCTATGAAGCGGTATATAAGTCTAACTGCTATTGCTATTTATGTTGCTAAATGAGAAATTTGTGAAATGAGTTTTGCCCCATTTTACAACTTTTCTTGCCACATTTGTTAAGTGAATCGCTGCAGTTGCTAAATGAATAGGGCGGTTGTTACGTGAATCTGGCGTCCCCGTTGACTTTGCTTGTTGGAAGGTCTCAAAAGACGATCACATCACCCTGGGACACGGCAATTGTCATAAATGGGAACCAGTCGTCAGCATCCGGACGTAACTCCACGTGACCCTGAAGAGGCTGCAATGGTCATACATGTGAAACATGGTGATCAGTAACTTTTTTCAGGGCCATTGTAACTTTGAACGGAACTAAATTAACGGTCGTAAGTTGAGGGCTACCCGTATGGCCATCGTTGAGGCCTTTGTATTTGTCTTCCAATTGTAATTGTAATTGTCCCTGTTTCCCCTTTACTGTTCAGTGGCTCATTGCCTCTCAGTTTGTGGTCTATAAAGTCTTGGTTTTTACTGTGTTTATAGAATTTTATGTGTATTGTGCACTTCAGGTTCTGCTTGTTACCTTGGAATGGCATTTACCGTATTTTTCAGAGTATAAAACGCACCAAGGTTTTGAAGAGGCAAATTTAAAACAAAAAGCATTTGCACTCTTCAAGCCTTCCCCAAACGGGCCCGTTTCCCCCCCCCCCAAAAGGGCATGAATAGCCCTTAGGAGGCTTGTAGAGTGTTCCTTGGGGGTGAGCCCCCCCCCCAAATGAGCAAACAATGGCCCTTTTTTGTGAAAATGGGTCAATTGTTTTGTCAAAAAAGGGCATTAGGAAACTTACAGAGTGCTCCTGGGGGCTGCCCTCCTTTCAGGAGCTCTCTGAAAGCCTCCTCCAGGTTATGTAAAGCCATTTTGGTGAAGGGGCGGGGCTTCGGGAGGCAAAAAATGCTGTATTCAGCGTATAAGACGCACCCAGATTTTCAGCCTCTTTGTTGAAGGAAAAAGGTGCATCTTATACTCCAAAAAATATGGTAAATGGAGGTTAGGTGAGAAATGAAACACTATAAATAAGCAAGTAGTCTCCTTCCTCCTCCTCCTCCTCCTCATTGCATGTCTCTCCATCTTCCTCCAGATACGAGGTTTCTGTGTCCTGTCTGGAAGACCCGGCCTCAGCAGATGCAGTGGTTCTGCCAATCTACCTTCGGGAGCGTACCCAGGGCCGGGACTACAGCAACAGCTACTATGGGGTCGTGCTTTTTGGTCACCCCCTTCTGGTATCTGTGCCCCGGGATCAGCTCTCCTCAGATGCCTTGTACCAGCTCCTGCTGCATCGGCTCTCGTGAGTGATTTCAATCTCTGAGATAGCCTAGCGTAGCTCCTTCACAGCTGGGATATGAAGGGAGAGACGTACGAGAATACTCCCCCGAAATGGCTTTCTCCAATTTGGATCCTTCCATCCCCCCCCCCCCCCCCAATACTAAGAGTCTTGAATTTCCAGGGTTCCCCAACCAACAGGGCCATTGCTGAGCATTCTGGGAATTGAAGTCCACGTAGCAATAGCACTTATCTACTGCTTTACAGTGCTTTGCAGCCCTCTCTAAGCGGTTTACAGAATCAGCATATTGCCCACAACAATCTGAGTCCTCGTTTTTACCCACCTCAGAAAGATGGGAGGCTCAGTCAACCTTCAGCCTGGTGAGATTCGAACTGCCAAATTGCAGGCAGTCCAGCAGTCAGCAGAACTAGCCTGCAGTACTGCACTCTTAAGCACTGAACCACCGTGGCTCTTGGTGGGATGGCTAGATTGGGGAAACAATGTCTCATGGAAGTCTCAACTCAGTGCTATTCCAGTAATTCAGAATGAATCCACCTCTATTTTATACCATCACAGCTGATGTATTGACTTGGTTTGAAGGATCCAAGCTCTGATTTTGGCCCAAAAAATATTTTTGTGGCCCTAGTTTGGAGCTAACGTCCTGATTTTAGTCATGGCAAAAAAAAACAGGGAGGTGAAGCAGGCTGTCTGGCAACCTGGCCAGGATGGTAGATTTTCTTAGCTAGCTATTAGGACCTCTTGAGAGGAGAATTGGTCTTTGTAGCTATGACAAGTGCAAGAACTGCTACAGGACGTATGGGTGCATTGTGTGGCTTTTTTGCATAGTCCCATCCTGGAGCTTCCTTTGCATAACCAAATGATGGCCTGCCATTTAATCTCAGCCGCCTTCCTTCTGGTCAAATGCAACATTCAGGATAGCAGAGTTATACTCAAGCAAATTATGCAGAGAGAGGGTAGTGTTTTGCTTCCCAGGGATTGTGACTCTTGACATATTTGGATGGGGTAGCATTTCCCTATTTCAAGAAGGCTGTGCAATCTGGGAGTCTTTCTGGACTCAAGAGCTGCTTCTCGATCGGGTGGCCCTTGCACAGCTTCATCTGATGTGCCAGTTGTGCCCCTTCCTAGATTGGGAGGCCCTTCAGACAGTCACTTGAACCCTGGTACCTCATGGCTTGACTATTGCAACTCACACTTCGTGGTTTGAAGACCACCTGGAAACTTTAACGGGTCTAGAATGCAGCAGAATAGGCAGTGATGGGCATGGTATGCCTGGCTGATTCAATCCAGCAAGGTGGTACACTGTGAGTTTAATTAAACGGTGCCGCCTGTCAGGATCCCATAAGTCTGCCTTCTCTGTCACAACGCCTGCCCTCTGAAATGAGGTTCTCCTGTCATTCGGATGGCCCCCTCCCTATTGGTGTTTTGGAGGGCCTTCAGAACCTGATTCTTTGACGAGAGTGATTGACACTCCTTTAACTCAATGAAGCAGTTGACGTGATGTGCCAGTGCCTCGAGGCTGTTAGGGACTGGATGAGGGTTAACAAGCTTGTTCTCAATCCGGATAAGACCGAGTGGCTGGTGTGTTTCCCTCCTACTAATTGGCCAAGTTTTCCATCTCTCAGGCTGGGGGGTCAAACAGTACGCCCCTCAGACAGGGTTCACAATTTGGGAGTCCTCGTGGACCCACAGCTGTCTTTTGAAC